CCCGCGCCGCCCGCGCTTCTACCCGCACTCCCGCGGGGAGCCGAACGATCCGCCGGACTCGCTTCCCCGCGGGAATTGAACCCTGCGAAACTCACAGAACCGCGGGGATGGGACGGATCGAAGTTCGTTTCCCCGCGGGAATTCAGTGGCTCTGCGGTGACTTCCCCGCGGTTCAGCGACGCGTCGAGTCAATCCTCCCCGCGGTTCTTCGGAGGAAACTCCCTTCTGGAGTGTGAAACGCCCGCGGTGTACTGGACGGAGCGACCGTTTCATTGGGAGCGGAGTTTCGCGCACTGGACGCTGAGTTTCGTTCCGTCCCCCGGAATGAAGCTGTCGATTTTGGCGGGAAGATTCGCGGGCGACGCTGATTGGCTGGCGCTGGATTTGTGTTCCCTGTCGGTTTCGAAGGGGTCGCAGAGCGTTTCGCTGCCGTACTCGACGCTGTGTCCCGCGTTCGACGCGTCGTCGACGCAGATCGTGACGGTGCACGTGATCGTGGACTGTCTGCTCGGCTATCTCTGGGTTCTGAACGAGCAGGGACGAATCGCGGGGAGCGTGGTGCCGGACCTGCCCTCGCCGGTGTGGCTGGGCATCGCGGGGAGCGCGCTGCCCTCGGGCATCGAGGTGGGACAGGCGAGTCTGCCCGGGAGCGAAGCCACGCAGCAGTTCGCGCAGACGGTGCGGAGCCTGCTGCACGAGCTGCTGGAAGCGGAGATCGCCTTCTACCGCGACCAGGAGAGCGCTGAGGACTGCAACCGCGTGCGGTTCCATGGAAAGCAGATGCCTTTTTTGATTACATTCTATCTGCTGCTGAGGGTCGGGAGGGACAGTCCCGCGGGACTCGTATCGCCGTCGCTGCTGTTCGACGTTTTGGAGGATCTCAAGGCGAGGATGGAAACGGTTAAGCGATTCCCGGAACTCTTTGCAGATGTCTGGCAGCAGGCCGGAACACAATCTGGAATACAAATGGAAACACAATCTGGAATACAAATGGAATCACAATCTGGAACACAAATGGAATTAAAATTAGAATCACAATTGGAATCACAAACTGAAATGCAATCCGGAACACAATTGGAAACACAATTGGAAACACAATCTTCACAACACGATCCAAATCAAAACGAAAATCCTAACAAAAATCCATCGCAGAACCCACTGAAGGGCAGCAGCTCCCTGTTCGTGGGATCCCAACGTTTCGAAGGCGAGGGCCTGTCCTTGCAGAGTTCCGCGGACGGCACAGCGACGCTGAAGAAAGGCGCGGAACTCTTGCAGGGACGATTGCACAAATTCGGCTGGTTTTTCGTCAATGAGAATCACGTGGCCGTGGCTACCCGCGGTTCTGAAGGAGTGGAAGTGGTGTGGTTTCCACGATCGGGGCGGGAGCGAATGGAAATCGTGCAATTGCGCGGGGAAAAGAAGCGGGAAGCGACGCTGCAGGGCATGCGATCGATTTGCTTATTCGTCGATTTACCGCGGTGGGTCGCCTCGCGGTTAATTGGCCAAGCCAAGGCCGGCAATGCCGAGTTCGAACACTCCCTTCAGGGCGATCCCGCCACCCAGTTTCTCCTGTTACCCCTTTTTCGGAACGGATGGAGCCGATCGCTTCGAATGATTCTGTGGGAAGAAGGGCTGAATGAAACGGTCAGGCGATCCCAATTTTTGAAGTACGTGGAGGACCCGGAATTGCCCGTCAAGCCGCCGGTCATCCACACGCAGAACTCGGCATTGCTCGGCCATGTCCAGCGAATCGAAACATGCTGGAGACCCTCCATGCAGCAAGTAGTAATCGTGGAAACGGAGGAAAATTCCCCGTTTTTAAATCCGAAACGCGCGTTTTTCGCGATCACCAATTCGATTTATCAGGAATTGAAGGCGATCCTGCAGTTTCACTCGCATTTTGAGAACGGATCGGAAGTCATCCAGGCAGCCAATAATCTGCTGCGTTTCATCAATGACGATCGCACCCGCCATGGCAAAAAATGGGCCGATTTGGAGTCTCTCCCGGGGAAACTCCGCGTGCTGTTGAAACGCGTTTTCCCCGCGGGACTGACGGTGAGCGAGTGTCAGAAATGTTTGAAACAAATCATTCCACAAATCGACACTTTTTTATCATCCCTGCCATTGCTTTATGATTATCAAGCGATGACGTTACGCACATTATTTGCTTTTGAACTGGACTCCTCTCTGCTTCTTGAGGACGTTTCGGCGCCATTTGTCTCCCAAAACCGCGGGAATTCGGCGCCCTCGCTCTTCGTCACACGTCGAGTTTCCACGTTACTCCAAAATGAAACGCCCATTCGGAGTCTGTGCGTTTTGCTGCAGGCCTTGCGATGTGCTTACAGCGATTCGCTTCGCTCCTTTGCGATTCAGTTTCTCTGCAAGTGGGAGTTTCATTGGAAGGAAGAGGGAAACGTGGAACTGTTAGAGAGTCTGTGTTTGGTGTATCAAATCATTGAGTGTATTGCTGGAAAAGGAGAAGCCACCTCCGATCTCATCGATTTGCTGTTCGAAATCACCTTTCAAATCAAACTCGTGCGGAGCATTTCATTGGACGCACGAGTTTTGTCCTTGGAACACCTGTTTTCGCAGTGGTTCCATCGTGTGTGCTTCATTCTCTTGTATTCTTCTCCCTCCATCCTCACTCGAACCCATCTGAACCGTTTCATTTCATTTCTGACACTTCCGCTTAATCACGAAGATGCGGAGTTCCTTACCTCCACACTCACTCTTCTCATCCAAAACGGTTCTCTGGATGCTCTTTTTGAGTTGACTGCGTTTGCATGTGTTTCATCCATAGCGAATCGCTTCTTTTCTTCCTCCTCGATAGTGTTCCACTCAGCGAAACCACTTTTTCCACTGACGAGCCGCGCTCTCTGGACGAATGGACGCTCTGCCAGTCCAGCACGCCTCTCTCCGAAATCCGCGATTCCGATTTGGTGCGCACCACTTTCAGCACGTTCCTTCTCACCCTTCTGGCGACTCCATCGCTCTGGGAAGCAGCCAATCAATGCTTAGCGTCGTATCTCCACCGCTCTCCCTCCCCGACCGCCCTTCTCAAAGCGATTCCCGCGATTCCCGCGGGATTCCGAGGCTCTCTTCACGTAACGGAGTCCTATTGGCTGTCGCTTCTGGAGCTATCGACGACGCATTCCGACTATCTGCTTCAGCATCGCCTGGTGCAGATGCTCTGCGCGGTTCTTTCCGGGTCTCCGCAGCGGATCGACGCGTCTCCTTACCGCTTCTGCAGCGCTCCGCAGGTCCGCAGCGCGTTGAAGCAAGCGGTTCAGCGATTCATCGACGTGCCTTCTCTCGTCGCGCTCCTCGTCGATCGCTGGCCCTTCGCTCCCGCCCAGTTCTCCTTTGTCGACCTCTTCGCGCTCCATACTTCCCTCCCGCTCGTCCTCACCATCCTCATCGACGCTCACCGCGATTTTACGCCCCTTCTCGCGCACTGCACCGCTCATCCTCGACGAAACGCCCTCTGGGACACTGCGCTGCAGACTTTTGTTCTGCGCTGGGACGCCCTCGATGTCGAAACTGTGGGATCCCTCCTACGCGCCGCAGACCCCGCGCTGCACGGGAATTTGTACGTCTTTGTCATCCTGAAACGGCTCCTCGAGCGAAATACCGCGGGGAGTTTGCTGCTCGTGCTGTCGGCGGTTTCATTCTGCACGGAGTTTCAAAAACAGGTCGATTTTGGGAGTAAAGTTGAGGGTAGGAGTTGCAGCGCCTTTTAAACGTGGAAACGGAGAACCAGCTCCCCGTGCTGATGGAGAAATCCCGCGGGAAAGGGCTGTCTGCGAGGGAGGCGGCGGCGTTTCATTTGCAGTTGGCACTGGGGATTCCCGCGGGGAGGAGCGTGTTGATGGAGGGAATGACGCCGTACGGAATAATGTTCCGACCTTGGAGGGAACGGAATTGTGTTTTTGTGCTTCGATTGGAGGAAGCTGATTGGATGATTCTGGAACTCCGCGAAGATCTGCCGTTTCCTCCGATTCCCCGCGGTTCTGAGGGCGTTTTCTATTCGCGTAGGAACCGCGGGGAATTTTCGATGAAACTGACGGTGGCGAGCGAAACGGAGTATGACGGGGAATTGGCGGGAGAATTGGCGGGTCATCTTCGTCTTCGCCGGTCAGGATTGGGTTGGAATGTGGAGGGAACTTTGACTTTGACAAGGGAGGCGAAGAAAC